TTATTTTTATTACTACTATATATATATATATATATATATATAAGTGTGTATAAATATAAATATATATATATATATGTATCTATGTATATATGTATCTATGTATATATGTATCTATGTCTGTATGTTTGTATGTATCTCTGTATGTATGCTATGTATGTATCTATGTATTTATGTATCTATGTCTGTATGTATCTCTGTATCTGTATATATGTATGTTTGTATGTTTGTATGTATCTATGCTATATTTGTATGTAAGTATACCTGTATCTCTGTATGTATGTTTGTATATTTGTATTTATCTATGCTATGTATGTATATATGTATGTCTGTATGTATTTCTGTATGTATATATGTATGCGTGGATGTGTATGTATGTATGCACGTATGTATTTATGTCTGTATTTCTGTTTGTAGGTTGTATGTATCTATGCTATGTATGTATGTATGGTTGTCTGAATGTCTGTATCTATGTATGTCTGTAGGTATTTTCGTATCTATGTATGTATGTGCGATAGTACAATGGCGACTTTCAGTTCTCAAACCTTATACTATACAGCACGAAGTATTAGAGGTACTCATGGATAGTTCTTGTTTGCTGATTGTAAATATATTCTATATAAACAAGAAGGTCTAATAGGTACCACATAACCCTAAGCATTGTAGTCGTGCATGCGTACAGTATTAAAATATGAGTCAAATTGAGCGCCGAGTTGCAATTGCTCAATCTACTAAAATGTCGCAGCCTTGATCACTTTATATTAACATAAAAAGAGCATGTGCTGTGCGAAGCGGAATATGATATCATGGTCCAAGTAGTGGTATACTGTGCGCCATTAGTACACCAAAAGAATCGTAACGATCACATAGCACAAAAACCCTTTTGTGCATTAGTTAAAAATTAATATACATACATAATTCATTGTGTAAAAGCGGAGTTGCAACGGTGTGATTTTCAGCCAATTGGTTGAACGTGTGAATTTATCACATCGTGCTATGACTATCATGATCTGAGTCGTGTTATTCTTGGACCCAATTAGCACCTCAAAAGCGGTATTAAAATAGAAAGTATGTAGCAGATTGCTATATTTCGATGTTCGTCCCATTGCATAATCTCTTGTAAATACAATGTACACTACTGCGTTGGTCACAAAAAGAATATATAAAAACCTTTTTTGAATATTTATCTCTGTCATTCTAATTTGGTTTATGTTAAAAACAACAACAACAATATTTTTTTAGGACGTCTGCACTTGTGGGTTTAGGTTTTTAGGTACATACGCTGCCGACATAATCCCCGCAATTTTGAAATTGTCAGCAGTGGCGAGCGAAGCGAGCTACTTTTGATAAATATTAATACATTTGTAAAATGTGGCTATTGTTGTTTTAAACATTTAACAAATTTTACATTTTTAAAAACATTCGTTGTCTTTGGTGTTAAATACTAAATTTTCTTTTTGGAAGACTGTAATTAGCTCAATATATTTCTGTTTTTTTTTAGAGTAGTATGGGAAAAATAAATATATAAGATTATTTTCATATAGAATTTTAAAATGATATCACATATTAAATACTTTTTAAAAAATTATATAGAGCGAAAATTTTAAGTGCTATAAATTCTGTAATATACAGTTTTCTGGGTTAAACTCATTTTAAAGTGTTTAAACCTGATTTGAAGGTTTCAAAATAAATGACTCCGAGTTTGCAAGATAAATAATTGTTTTGGCACAGGAGCGAGCGATCATTTTATAATACCGTTTACTGGATAGGTCTCACTTCGGCTCATTTCGAGAAAAAAAATGCTCCAAAAATAAATAAATACAGACTTGTATACAGTATTTAGTTTGCGATATTATTTTGAAAAATACATAGGATATTACGTTTGCTATTTTTTGATTTTCAGTATATTTTTGAAGTAAAAACCGGTGTTAAAAAAAAGCTTGGGCTACAGTTTTATGTTTCTATTTATTTTCAACCTTTTATTCATCAGAAAACGTTTGTTGTTCGTTTTTTAAAATGTATTTACTGCGTTTTAAATAAAATTCTGTGCCCATTTAGGTTTTTTATCAAAAGTTGGTCAAATTGATAAGTATATTGAAATCTCGTATAATATTCACACTACTGCGTTGTTTACAAAACAAATTTAACGGGTGTAGTTTCCCGTTTCACGCAGAACGTGAACCATTTCTCCGCAGTGAGAACCTCTTAGATTGATAAGTAGGATGCCAATGCCGCTATGGGATGCATCGCTGTATGCATCAAGCTTGACATCTGCAGGGTAAGGCCATGTTCGGAGACATTCATATATACTCCCTTGTAAATTCTACGTTTACGTCTATTTGCGATTCTGTGCGACTTCCGCTTGGTTCCAAATCACTTCCTACCACTCGCCGACCTGCACCAAGGACACATCAGCGGCCCCTACAGCATAAGACACCCCCGAGTTGACTATTCCGAAGAATTTCACGTACGGATACAGTAAGGCATTGGTAACTTTGCCTCCGACATTAAAGTAAATGTTGACAGCGCCCTCGATGACGTTCACCACACCTGCCCCTACCGACATCCGTATATTATTCAAAACACTTATAATCTGAACAACGATTTGTAGCGTATGGTATCCGAAATTTGCCGCTGCTCCCAATAATTTAGATACTCCATGACTCAGATCTGAGAAAAATGTGTCCTCGCCCACAACATCCACTCCGTATGACATATCATGCAGTATGTTCTCCACATCTGACATGCCTATCATGTCCTCTGACTTAACCATCAGCATATACACTCTACCGTCTGAACCCTTCTGAGCGAAGACTTCCATAGACCAATCAACAGGGTCATCACCTGCTTTTATCTCCGAAATGAGATTAAGTGTAAAAACACTGACTCCATAATCAGCGCACTCGCGCATCTTCCTTAGAAAAAGCGGTATATCGTCGTTTCTTACGAATCTGAGGAAACTTTCGCATAAGAGGTCACACGCGCGTATGTTGTGACCAAATACAGCAGATGAACCTCTCGGAACGGACATTATTCGTCCCACATCACTAATTTGTACCACGGCCACATGTTCGCTATCAAAGTGGCCTCCTCGAAATACTTTATCAAACCCATCGAAGTCGCGAGCTTCAGACAGAACAAGCACGAGTTCGTTGCTATCAGAATCAGTGTTATCAGTGTCTAATTCATTGTACAACTGTGTATCAGATGGGGTCCTATAGGTATTAAGCGAACGTGCAGTTTGAATACCTGTAGTGGCTAAACCTTCAACATGTGTATTCTCCCTGTTACTATGCTTTGCCGGCAAACATGCCCACAGAGTCACAGGAACTAATTTGCTTCGGTGGCTTTTTATCAGGTATTCATGCGAGTCTAATTTACATCTATCACAACTATTTGATTCAGGAGATACATTTCTACGTTTATATAGAGTATCATCAACTCCGATGTCCCGTGCGACCAGCAAGCTACAGAACTCTTTGCCATTAAATTCACGCAGCGATCGGGCCGAGTATCCAAGAGTCCGGTTCCTATCACTCAATGAGATGATGGTGTTATTTCTCTTGTCAATAGTCACGATAATCATTACAAAATTTGGTACATCAACTTACACCGTCGATTCTATATTATGAAGCCGGCTCTAAAGTGATTCCTCGCTTTATTCTAATTCCTGCCTCCTGTATTTATTTAAAGTTTGTATTCAACAACTCTAAAAAGTTTTTTGTATTGGTTTGGCCGTTTGGGTCATGAGTTTACAACATACATAGCTATTTACAATAAAAGAGCGATAATGGTTTGGCGGTTTGAATAGTTTTATTTCACTACTGCAAACGGCTACTCTATTGACTATTCTCTATTGAATATTAACTCCAAATACACACTCAAGACCTCTCAGTCAACACTCTACAGTCTACTGTCTACAGTCTATTGTAGTTTATTTTATTTTAATACATTTGTAGTTTACTTTATTCTTTGAATCTTCACTCCCAGGGGCCTGTGCCGCCCTGGGCCCCTGGCGCCCTGTCCTTGCTCAATTTGGAGGCTATAGGTTTGGGAACTGGTATACCTCTGGGTACAAAGCTCTGCCTGTCCTACCCCAATATTTGAAAATTGGCTCTGGTCAACTTTTCATCCCCCCGAGTTGTCATTAAAAATATCTGGCCAGGTAAACGACACAGACTTTTATTAAGTTTTAGTAAACTACAAGTTGTTTATCTAGTTATATTTCGAATACTATGATTAGGACCAAGAGACTTAGATAAAATAGAACATCTGAGAGAAGAAAAAACCAGGTATCGTTTATTATTTTCGAAATAAACAGCCTAATTTCAGGCAGTTTTACACTAGAGGACAGAAAAATACACACAAAAGGAAATAATACAAATTTGTGTGGTACAGCCTGTACAGGTACTAAATACTTTTTTGACTCCCCATTTTCAAAGCCGCTGGGGCCCTCTTCGAAAGACCGAAACGTCGCACGCCAACAATAAAAATTTTAACAGCTGAATTCCAGCTGGAGTGCATTGACAGTCATAGACTCAAAGCTAAAACCAAACTTTTAAAAAAAATAGTGGGCTTTCTGCTTTCATAGGTTTGTCTGGATTTTTTTTATTACTTTTGGGGGGTACAGAGAGACATTTTCCGATGTAAGAAATTGGCCAATCAATACGATTTAGCTGACTGATAATTGAGCTGCAATATAATTGTAAATTCTATTCGTCCAATTTAGAATTCCAGATAGCTTTTCAATCACAAGCTTCACTGCCTTCATGGAGTATATCATGCTTTTACTCTAAGTTCAAATACCAGTGCACACTACTTACCACTATAGTCTTTAAAAAAAAGATTTGTTTGGAACTCTTTACTCTTTCTTTAAGAAATGTACTTTTGCCTTTTAAGCGTTTTGGAATTCAAATCTGGCCTCTCTCTAAATAGTCTCTTCTCTTTTCTTTATCGTGGGACTAATTTGTGTATTCTGAATTTCAAGTGTGTGGAAACTGGAAACTGGAAACTGGAAAAGGGTTCAAAAGACTGAAACTCCGAGGTCCCGAGGGCGGAGGGACAGAGCCGGAGGCAAGCCCTCTAGGCCTTCACATAGAGTTCTATTACTCCTACGTATTTGTTTTGTTTTCATTTGGTTTTTTTTAAAGTAAAAACAAAAGAAGAAAAATAAATATGTACTAAATATGCATTTATGTTTACTCATAGCCTTCTCAAAATTTAAATAAGCATTTATTTACTAAAAATGGTACACTCCCCGCCTGACCAACTGGCTACAACTTACAGGATACTGCGGTGTCTACCTGTCTAACAGTCCTGCTGGTGGTAGGGAAGTGGGAATGGGATCAGGCCATACATCACCTCATTAAGATACGTATTGTACGTTTTCTTAACAGATTTAGAAAGAGTCCTTCATCCTATTTCTTAATTATGAATCTATGTCCAAAATTATTATAATTAGTATTAAGAATAAGATATTCCCGATTTTATAACACGTTACATATTTAAGAATAAGGAATTATTCATTGATGAGCACAACTTCACTTTTTAATTTTGCTATAGTTCTTTACTGCGTGATTTCTTAATTGCACAAAATTTAATAAAGCTCTAAAAATTTCCAAAATTCAGTTCGTCTTCAACCCATATTTATTAATTTCGGAAATCTGGAATTGTGTCATATTACGTATTTCTTTAATAATTACGGCTATTTTCGCCCTTCATATTTTTTTTCTCGACATTATGTGATGTATGGTCTGAAAGGGATTGCCGGCCGCCAGGTCATGAGAATTTAAATTAAAAAAAGGTACAATAAATACCAGAGTACTATACCAGACTCCCAGAGACCCAGACGGTCCAGGGCTCCAGGCTCAGATCCAGGCCCAGAGCCCCAGGCCCCCAGCCGCCCAGCCCGCACGCTGACCTGTTGAAAATACCAGAGGCCCATGGCTACCAAGAAAATACAAGAATATATTTGACTTCAGACCGTGCTATTTACCAGTGCCCAGTCTTATAGTCACTACCACCTCCTTAGAGCCTTAAACACTCACAGGGAGCACTAAATCTAACTGACTTAGTGTCATGTGCCACTGCTAATTCTAAGTGGTGAGTAGTGAGGAGTTGGCGTCTAAAGTCTCTACACTCTCTAGAGTAGCGACTAGTACCTGACCCTGGCCCTGGCCCTGAGGCCTGGGGCTGCGGGGCCTGGCCGCCTGGGCCCTGGGCCCTCTCTAGCTAGTAGGCCTGGAGTGAGTGGTGAGACTGAGCAGTGACTGGATGACTAAGCTATTTTTTTTTTAAACTTCTCTGCTGAGTGGTGACTACCTGACTGGTGGTGTCTGGACTGAGTTCTGAGTAGGCCTTATAACGTACACGCTATTTAGCTGAGAGCCTGAGAGCGTACTATATACGTTTTACGCTAACGCATACAAATATAAAGGCTTTACGCAAACTGTATTCATTTCGGTGCTTCCAAAACGACAACTCCAAAAAATTAAAATCGGGAACTGTTCTAAATAGATCAACAAATGACAAATATGCATTGGACCGGGACCTGGATCCAAAACCGAAAAATAATAATTATATATATCAGGTAATCGCCCACATTTTGGATTGTTAAAAGTAGGGTGGCATTTGCCAATATATTGGTGGGCTTCTTCGCCAAGGTCAAGTAATTGAAGTAACGTACATACACAAACGTATCCCGTTTACCGCACTGTTTTGAAAGTGTGTTTACGCTTAACTTAATGAACCTTGCTTCAGCTTGCACTGGTGGACTGGTGGCTGGCGAGTCCCACTGAGTGGTGACGTGGTGACTGGTAACTCTCGTGAGTTGTGACTCTTTTCTCTTGTGAGAGCTGTGACTCTCTTGGCTTAAGTTGTAAGCCTAGAGCTGTGAGTTGTGACTCATGAGTAGAGCCGCTTGTTGCGGGGAAGGTACTCACGTCCCACTCTTGGCTTCTGGCCCTCCTCCGCCCTGGGACTCTGGGAGTCCTACAAATGGGACCTTGGGGCTTGGGCTGGTCGACTGGCTATAGGGTGGCGCCTGCTGCCCAATCACCAATGGCTCTCTCACTAAATACTCAATATGGCCAACTGGGAACTAAATACTGGCGAGCGCGACAATCACAACTTCACCAGCCGCCAACTGGAACGACTTTTAAATAAATATCATATTTTTATCGTTGCTCGTAGATTTTACAAAAAAATATTTGTGTTCAATTTTCAGGAAGTTATGCCGCTATGACATCGCCTTCTAAATACAGAAGAAGGCTATGATTAGGAATTTTGGTAAACTTTTTTCTTCAAATGAACTGTGTTTTTTATATATAAAACAAGTAGACCAATAAAACGGACTCGGGGGTGAGGAATCGATATAGTCAATAGGCAAAATGTAGACAGCCATATGGGCCCATTACGCACGCACGGGGCCATGATGCAGATGGTGTTGTTGGCATTGGAAGAATCACTACGTATGTAGCAACTAGTATAGAAAAGCGCAGAGCATATTTACAGTTGCATACTTGTACTCGATCAACTTGTGTTCGTAGACATAAGGGCCATTATAAGCAGGATGCATCGCTTGTATGTATTTACCACAGGGGAACATAAAAACTTTGCGTGCTATGTTCCTCTCTGTGTTGGCCCGCGAAAGTATGTAACGTACTTTATGTAATCTAAAATTATTTACTGTTGTTACCAATTATATTTTCCAAGCCCTCCGGAGGCGCCTGTCCGTCCATACTGGCCTCTTTAAACTTTATGCCGACATTAATCCACGACAAAAAGATAACAGCCTCTGCCCTGTTCATCCCGAACTGTTCCGCAAATCCCTCAGCTGATACTGAGCCCCCGTCAAGGGTGGTCAGGAAATCAGCAATTATACCCGCACGTTCCTCGTGGAATAGTTCGTACCTACGCAGTAAATTAGTAAATAAATCATACAGGATCAGATATGTGTATACACTAAATGACGACAAATGAAATGGAATGATGAAGCACTGCTGATTCAGAAGGTACTTGCATAACACCATCCCGAATATGCGAATGTACATAGTCTACAGGAACGATACGGTTCTGTCCGGATTTCAAATTCGATGCAAGAGTGTGAATTGGTATAAACTAAACTAGATCTCAAAGCTGATGTCAAGGCAACAATCAGACACGAACTATATTCCCACACGAAGGCAATTCTAAAACAATATAGCATAACCCAGCGGTGGCCTAAAACCTAACACCAAGAGAATACTGGCATAACGGTGACTAAGACACCAAACAAAACAAACAAACATGACTAAAAATTTGGTTGAGGAGTAGGAGGAGGATTTCAGTTTCTACACCAAAATAACCTCACGTATGCGAGCCGTATATAAAATTTCGAAGCATACATGCGCGAATCCTCTAAATGGTATATACATGTAGTTTTTCAGGCGTAGACATACATAGGATACAAAATATAATCTTTTTGTGTAGTGATTGTACGCACC